CAGCATTCTCGGCATATCTCTGAACAATGCCAGAGCCGACCGATTTGAGACGTGCATGCATGACTAATGCAGATTGACAGACGTCCGGAAACAGTGCGGCCAATTTGACTGTTAAATTATAGCATCTGTAACGAGCAGATATGCCTAATTTGGGCTGTGGTTCCCGATACACAACACGACAAGATTCCGGTACAGGGGCAGGGTGGACGCACCAGAACTGACATTTCAACTCAGTGAGCCGTTGTCGGGTGGAGTATTACCACGTAGTGCGCTATGATTTAGGACGACACGTTGAACTTTCCGTCTGATGTTTGTATATTGTGCGGGTGAAATATTCATGCGTACAGGCTCATAATAGGTGGTGCAAACGACCTCACGGAAATAACGGATTGCACGCAACGCCACGGCCCCGCCCGCTGCGCCCCGTAACCGCTGGAAGGAAGCCCAAATGTCGGAGGACCCGTAGACCTTTAGAGACGGCATGAATTAGTTCGACAGGTAGCTTGTCCTCTTCCGGCATCAGAATTCATTATTGAAATGAAAGCCAGGTGCCGAAAACAACAAACAGCTATCCCGGAATATGGAAACGTATGATATTTGCCTTTCGCCGTCGCTCGCCACAAGCTATTTGTGAATATTGCACGCCTCCAAGAGGAACAAAGCCCACGCCAGCTGCTTCTGCAGTTCTTCAAATGCTCGTTCATTCTCCCGTACTTAAAACTATCGGTAACTTTCCACGACCAGCAGCAAATTTTCACGGAGACCTGTGAGCAGCATCTTCCTTCCAACGTGAAGACGATTCCGCGCCATTTCTTACATCAGGAAAAACTTATCCAACAATATATACGGCAACGTATCAAAGGCCGGCGGCGGCCGCAGATGAGCGACGGACGCTCGACGGTGCAGCGATCCAGCGCCACACCGAGCCTCCAGCGTCGCTGCTTCTGCCGCCGCCGTGCCGCTCCCGAACCGCCGCCGCCACCGGCGCGGTGCGGTGACTGGGCTGGCCGGCGTCAAGGTCGTCCAGTGCGGCTCGGCCCGGCGCCACCCCGCCAGGTGGGCCCCCTTATCCGCGCCGATCGCTGCCGGAAGCCGGCGCCGTCCGGTCCCGCAGCCGAGACCGGCCACCGCGCCGCCGACCGACCGGCTTCGGCGGCACAGCGGCGACGGCAACTGAGGAGACAACGACCGGTCAGCGCAGGGCGCCGTAACGCACCACTAGTCGACAGAATGGAGGAATGTTCGGGAGGATGTAGTGCCCGTCAACGATGAAGAAAACGTGAAGACGAAACAACGAAGCAAACGGGTCGGACGTGATTGCAGTTAGGCGTATACGGTCTGCGAGCTTAGTAACTCAGCTATGTATGCCCTATTATGATCAGCGGCATGAGTCAGATTAGCATTAATTTCACTGCTCTCAGCAGCTACTCCCGGGCGCCCGGCCCTCACCGAAGCTGTCTCTAATGACGGCGCAGCACGCCCCGTTCAGACAATCAGCCTGCTCTGCTGCCGGCGGGCGGCCGGGATCGCTGCCGCCCCCGCCGCCGGCTCCTAGAGCCACCCTCCTGGCGTGGGTCTGCCCTCAAGCCGCTCCGCCGGCGGCGACAGACGCCCAGATCCATCTCCGTGGCGACGAACAGCTCCGTGAGAGCCCCGCGTCCCGGCTGCACGGCCGGCTAAAATGCAGAGTAGCGCCCATCGCGGCCCGGCACTGCCCCAAAACCCACCACCAGGCATGATTTACCGGTGTTTACGGAACAAGTCTCATTCTTCTGTGCCGTGCCACGAGCTCATAGCGGTTGGGTCGGTAATCATTCCATCTGTGATAGCGCCTGAAGAAGCTTCCCACGATGAGAGTACGTCTCCCCTGCCCGGCCACTTTGGCCAGCCATGTCTCCGGGCGACTGATAGTCCAAACCGGTCTGTGGCGCCGCCCGGGCCTCCACAATCACCCTCCGAGAGGACCCGCGCCGCCCGGATCGTGTTCAGATACCACCTCCCGACGCATCATCAGTCTCCGACTCCCACCTCGCCGCTGACTAGTCTCCCTGCTCCCACCATCACACCTAGAACGAAGAGAGACGATCGTGTCAGTCAGAAAAGGTCGAGAGGACAGACTCTTCAGCTTCAGAAGGTGCGACATCTCCTGGACTTTTATTATTATTATTACATAGACGTATTGATATAAATGGGAAAGGCAATGGGAACGTGTTGTTAAACGTGTTGTTACGTCGTGTTACGTGTTAAACGTGTTAAACGTGTTAAACCTGTTGAACGTGTTTAATATAAAAACAACACGTTCCCATTGCCTTCCCCATTTATATCATCTCCTGGACTCCGCCGCCGCCTGTAAGCTATCTGGTCCAACAGTCGTCACAGTTGAGAGACAGACACGGGCGCGGCGCGGCGGGCGGCGCTCCACGATCGCCACGCTGCGCCGGGAGTGCCACGCTGCGCCAGGAGTGCCACGCTGCGCTGCACGGCGGCGCCTTTGGAGCTGTCGGCGGCGTGGCGGCCTCGTGAGCGCCGGTTCCCGAAACCGACGCCTTCCTGACTCGGTTCGGCGTAACGCCCGCCGGCGAACCCGGCGGCTTCTTAGCCGTACTGTGACGTCATCCCGGGAGCAGGGACTGACGACATGGGTGTGGCGGGACGAGAGGGGGAGGGGGGAAGGGTCATTGATGTGCCGCGGGGACAGTACCAACGTCGTCGTGGGCAGTTCGCCGAGGCGGATCGGATCAGCTCAGTACTTCCCGACGTGAACAGTTTGGAGTTTGGACCAGAGTCACTCGAACCAGTCACCGTTGTTATGTAAGACTCACAAGATTCGCTTGACTTGCACACAAATATTTCACCACTTGTCGGGTTATGCTTATCACACCAAAAATCAACATGCCTATCGAATTCATCATTCTTCCTTGGAGCGCACCTCTGCATCCACTTTCCCGACGCAATCCAGCTAAACAAAATCACGACCCGAACGTCCAGTCCAGATCTCTGATCGTCCACAGCTCGAGTCTCCTTCGCACCCGGAACAGACGTCTCTCGATATACCTACCCCAGAACACACCGCCTGCCCGTCCGACACCTGCGACTCAGCCTCAGAGCTCAGTCAAAAATGCAGGTCCACGCGATCACGGAGGTGCAGGAATTCATGCTGCTTTGAATTCTGTCAGCGACGTCTTGAAACAACACAAGGAAGGAATCCAATGCTTATCGGCAACTCTCCAACTCCAAGTTCCGAGAAAAGTTCGATAAGCAAATAGCTCCTCGGTGATCTGACGGGATTCTTCGCACGGCCGCGATAAATCGATTTTATTGCATTAGCCAAGCCGTCTTCATGGGATGCAGAAATAGCACCTGCTTCTGCTCCGAGTGGCCACTCGGCTCCACAGCGGGTTGGCAGGGGTGCCCAGACGTTAGCCTGCCCCGCCGGCCCGCCCGGAGCCCGGCTGTCTCCCCAGGAACCACGCTCGGCGGCGGCGAGACGCCGTGTTTTGGACCGGCTCCATATTGACTCAGAGTATCCTCCACCTGCCGCCGGCCGGCCGCACCCGCCGGCCACCGCGCCAAAACATAAACACTGAGCGCGGACGGTAGCGCGCCGCGGCCCGCCGACCAGCCGACCGGCCGGGCGGAGAGACGGACGGGGTGTTTGCTGAGGAACCCGGAGACGGTGGCCGAACCCGGCGAGCGGTCATCCTAGGGAAGGGTGACAGGTAAATGGGCAAATGTTTGAGGACCGGGAATGAAACCGAACAGCGGACGAGACGCGAAACCAGGAACAGGTAGCGTCGAGTGAAGCTGAAAAATACCCCGTGCAGTTTCACGCAAATGGGTCATCGCTCGCGCTAATTAGGTCGGCCCATTTCGGAGCGCGCCACCTTTTTGATGGCGGCATTATGTCGGCAGATACGGCCATTGGCCGACAAAGCCCGCTGACGGGACGCGGTGCCGTGTCGGATGGGCCTCTGAGCCGGGCCGTTTGATGTCGCACCGCCGTCCCGCTCACCGCGTGTCAATGCAGGGCCGACGGGGCAGAGCCGCGCCCCGCGCCGCTGACAGAGACGGCTGACGGATGGCGCCGCTCAAACTGTCACGCTGTCCGGTCTGCGTTGCAAGTAGTCTACCAATCGTGGCGGGGCCTTGTCAGTCGCAGGTCGACTATAACGCCAAACTACCATACCATCGACGGGGTTCAGAACTTTACTATCTCACTAAACACTCCTCAAAAGACGTGTGCAGCTTCCAGACGAAAAAACCGAGCGGAAGCGTTCCAGTTGAGGCACCGACGGAAGTGGGGTGGCGGTGCAGACGGGCCAAAGTTCGCCCACTCAGTACAGGCCATCCATTGTCGAGTGAGTTGACTCGTCCTTAGTTGCCTGCAATGCCGAGCAATTAAAACGGCAGTGAAATGCGGACCGGCCGGCGCGGCCGCGTGCCGCCTGCTCGTTATTCACCGGCCGAGGTCGGGTCACTTGTGTCGTTTCCGTCCAGGTGACAGGGCACGGTGGGTGAGGGAGGGGAGGGAGGTGGGACTGGGAGGGTGAGGAGGAGAGGGCAGGGCAGGGAGTGCGCCTTACCCGACCCAACCCCGTCCACACCCTTTTTCTGTAGAAACGAACGACATTTTACATACATATATGGCCGAACAAAAGCTAGACATAAAGCTAGACCTAGCATCAGAAAGGAGAGGAAATCGTCGTGCTCAACGTCAAAGTTCAACAAACGCGTATCGTAACTCGCGTTGAAAATCTCATCCGCCACATTGCTCACCCAATATTGCTCAGCTACGGGTATATTCGAGCCTGAATCGATCATTCAAGTGTCAAGTGTCATTCTTATTTACGCCTAGCTGGCAGCTTTACATCCATCCAATCGGCTTACAGCTCTTGAATCACAGTCGATTGGAATGCATCCCTATACCAGGCTTTCCGATCTGCTCTTCAATCGTCCGATCCGCCCGCTTGGTGGAACTTTCTGCGCGGAGTGTGTGAACATATACCGAGATAGCAATATGTATTTATCATCTAGTCAGTTTCAGAGACGATGACAATTTACGGAACCGTCTCTCCGGTAATATGTATCATGATTCAGTACAACAGCACGCAATAGTTATCTTGCGAATCTTGAGAAGCAGATCAATGAGCCCCTAATTGAATAAACCCTGATCTGATCCCACCAGCCAGCGTACACATGCGTATACTATTGAGGAGTAAACATGAAGAATATACGATAGGGTAACCAGCACCGTTGGTATCCGCGAACCATTCGATCCTCTACCCGAGGTCACTACAGGCCATTACTCGGTGCAGAGGTGTGCCAGTGGTTGACTATTGGACTAGTTACAACCAGTGATGTGTCGATAGAAGAGGAAACGCGCAACTTATTATCGTCGAAACCTAAAAAAATCACAGATTTCGGTGAACGAGTCGAAACTTAATTGCTGCCAGGCTGGTTACAGGTCGTAAACATTCACGCCAACGATACATAAACGATTTATTAACATCAATATTTTGCCCATAAGTAAGCACTTACTAAAGCTCACAATCCACCCCGTACAAAACATAGAGCACCGATCACCCACATTTGACAACCCTTTGGTGCCCCAGTGTCCACCCTCCCCGACCCAAACCAATGGCATGACAAGTGAACTTAACCTGGCGAGTCGACACAAATGCATGCCATAACGCGGCACCGCGGCGGCCTCATGGGAGCGGCGACACGAAAACGGAAAACAGATATAGCGACTAACGGCCGGGCGCGATCAATGCCGCCGTTCATTTGCATATATTAGCATACCATTACGGACGGGGCCGCTATGCAGTGTGTTCCGCTGTCCACCGGCCGGGCGACGCCGGCCGCTCACCAGGCGACGCCACTCCGTCGGCATCGACAGGGGGTGAGCACCCCCCCCCCCATCGGGTGGTGCGCGGACGGCAGGAATACACGCTCGACGATGTGTATCGTGGTTACGTGTTTGGTGTTCCGCGGTGTTACGATTGTGTGTGGCGTGTTCGGCCTACGTTCAGTGGCGGACGGTGTCGTAAAAATAGTGAGATATCTAACTATCCCCCGAAGGCTTATAAATTTAACGCTGCCGAGGTCCAAGGCAACCAAAAAACCAGTACGTTTAGTGACTAGGATTATGCATTTGACAGCTTCTCTTGTACTCTTGACGGATAACTGTGCACCGGAATGCATCATGCACACACTAACATACCAGAGGCTTCACTCGCATATAACATCACAGTTCTAGCTCGACGCTACGTAAGGCAGAAGCAGTTCACATTCACTCATACTGGAACTGACTGGATCGGCGTTATTGCTCGAGGCAACATAATATGTCACTCTACGGCATTCTACGATGAGGAGAATCCCAGAGTCATGGGTATGGAAGAAATCACAGTACCGGAGGCTCAAAAGCAGCCATGCTTCTCTGTCATGGAGCCAGCCCTCAAGCTCTGCACGGAGCCCCGGGGTGGGCCGCTCACCGCAGTTTGTATCACAACACTGGTCCATCGAGATCGTCGCACGTCGCCTCAGAAGTCGTCGGCGTCGCCGTCATCCAACTCCCACAACTGCCGGTGAAGAGACCGTACGTCATCGGGGGAAAATGGGGCGTGGCGCGGAGGCGAGCAATTAACACTTTAAGTCAAAAGGAGATAGGTGGGGGAGGGGGACGACAGTGGTCTAAATCTAAGTGATAGAACGCCAATACGTCAACCTCTGACAGTTATATCTTGCTCAATAGCTAATAGTATGCAATGCCAATAAAAAAATGTGGTGTTGAAGAACGTGTGCGTCATCGATAAACTGCTTTTTTCATTCTGAAGCTTATCTAGGTAGTGGCAGGTACGTTCCATCCTTTTGACATACCACCAAAGACCGAGTATCAAGGCTGACAATCCGCCGCTCGCCATTAGTACGAGCTCCGACCCGAAGAAGACGTCACAACTGCCGTACGTCCTCGGCGCTCGTAGCACATAATGACGTCAATTATGCGTCGACCATCCATCACCCAAGTAGGTTACTGCGCGTGCCTCAATGCACCTACGCACACCCCGTCCATTACCCCGGCACCATCAGCGGCGCATATTGGCTGATCACACACACGTGCGTCAATACCATGACAAATACACATTCCGTGAATAGCACGTTACACATTCACCAATTAAGCCATAGCTACAGCACCCGAAGCGGAGCCATGACATTCCATTGGCGCCGGGTCGCCCTCCCCGGCTGACCCGCGCCCGGCCACCCCATAGCCGGCACATGCCAAAAACGCCGACCGGGCACGATTCCTGACGAGCCGCGCGCCGCGCCGCGAACGCCTGGCGCGCCGTGAGCGCCGCGGCGCGGCCGACGTGACGCAGCGCGGCCGTGACGGCGCCGGCCGGGGTGACACGGCGCCGCCACCGGCCGACGGATCGAGCCCGCTGACGACACCGGCCGACGGTGGAGCGCGTGGCGTGCCGCAGTCCGCGGCCGCGACCGCATTCTGGGCATCGACGGCGACGGAGCCGGGCCGCATCGCTGAGTCCGTGCCGATCCGGGGCACTTCTGAGAACTGCCCCCGGGGCGTCGAGATTGTCACACATGGCGACACAGCTCCCCGGCCGCGGCGGGCGAAGGCGGGGTCGGCGCCGGTCTGTGGCGTCAGTCCGCCCCGGCCGCACCAGGAACAAGAACGTCCGGTGGGCCGTCCCGGCGCAGCACCGCGCCGCAAACGCCGTGAAAACGCCGCCGGACTGACCGGGACGGCGGTGGGTCACGGCAGCTGCCACCGACCCTCCCGGCTGCCGTCGAGCCGCCGGGGCCTCCTGCGGAACGACGTACGCAGCAAGCACTCTGCAACAGCTGAACAGCTAGGCGGCGGGATAGACGGCGGCAGAGCCCGTCTGCAGCGGCAGCGGCGAACGTTAGCGGACGGTTAGCGGGTTGATAGACAGGACAGCGGCGGCAGCGAGGGACGGTGGAAATCCGGCGCCAGGTGCCACCTGCCCCAGCACCAACGGTCGCATTCCAGAGGCGCGTGCCTGCGGTCCAACGCCCCCCTCCCTCCCCACACCAGGTGGTCGGGCGGCGATTTAAACTGGTGTGCCCTAATCGTCGGGCGGCAGCATGCATCATTACACGTTCCAACGAGCCGGCTGTATGGTTTGAAGGCCGAGATATGTCTGCTCGTGAGGCGCTCTCCGAGATGGAGGCATTACAGAGTCGAGAGTAAAAGTTTGCAGCAGGCAAAAATGGTACGGAATGAATGACGAAATAGTGATACGGGAAGTGATTAACTGTGACGTGTTGGTGTAAGATACAGGGTACAAACCAAAAACGATGTGACGAACAATAAAAATTAGGAACAACTCTTAAGATACTGGGTAATAACTTTTGACATTTCCGCATGTTTACACAACGGCAATATTATTGCAAGAAAATGTTAATGAGCAATTAATTTGAACGGTGCACGAAACTGTTGAAAGATGGACAAAGAAACTGTTGAAAGGTGGACAAAATCGCTAGTAGCGATTCATTCTTACCCTTCAGAGATGTATATTCCGACATCACCCGCAACACAAATATTTTAGCTTACATAACATTTTAGAAACGTTTTAGATACCTACGTGTCGCCGCTTAAATGACAGCAATCAATAATATCAGAGGTAAGTATGTTCTTAATGTGCAGAGGTGGAATTTCTGGTATAGGATAAACTTCCGACACCGCATGTCCATTCATGACGAATGAGGGCCTAATTACATCAACGTCATCCCGAGCAATAACTTCAATCATTTCGGCGTCTGAAGTAGAGTTGCAAAGTTTTCCCAATGGGCTGCTACCGGCACCGCCCCGCCCCACAAACATTTTCTGGGATACCGGCATGCTACCACGCCCCAAGCAAAAAAACCGCCAAATTACCGGCATACTAAAAAAACCTGCATCCTTGATTCTGGCTTACCCCTACATGAGATGCCACATTTTGGCAATTTCAGTAACCGCCCCACCCAGCAGCCACCCATCGTCCAACTTATTACAATTCAATAGCCTCTTAGTGTCCAAAGTTTGAATCATATGCTGATAATTTTTTGTGCAAAATCAAAAATACCGGCATGCTACCGGCAAGACATGCCAGATACCACGAAAAAACCTGCGGTAGTGAAAAATTACCGGCATGCCGGTAGTGCGGTAGGGAAATTTTGCAACTCTAGTCTGAAGCTAAGTGCATAATACAAATAATGAGAGCATTTAACTTTAATTTGCCTGACTGGCGGCGACAATTATCGAATTACTGCTGAACGGTTGTCGTGGAATGTTGCCGGCCGTTCCACGGAGCACACTCCCGCTCAGTGACCAAACGATGGCGGTGGAGCACGAGACGCACTCGTAATGAATTACCGCAGACGGCCGCGACGTGAAAGCCGACACTGCGCATAAGTCAGCACATAAAATTAAAACAAATGCCTAGCCATTCCAGCGCTGCCATGCCACCGCACTTTCGGCGGGATTTACGCTCCAAATACATGTCGAGTTCATGGCGCGTATGAAATTACAAGGTATGAACAAGAAACATTAATTGACTATACGCAACTTCAACGGCAATTTGAGGCAGCCCCGTCCAAAACAGCGCCCAGTTACCCCTCCCCGACCCAGGTCGGCCGGCCCTACCCCGGCTCGTTGCGTCCCGGCTCCGTTCGTAAGTAACTGGCGCGCGCGCAGTGTCCCACTGAGACCGACACGTGCACGAACAGCGCCTGTAAATCACCGGACGGCCGCGTCCGCTCAATAAACAATAACGGATGGCGTTCACACCATAGTAATGGCGCCGGCGAAATACGGCCGGTGTTCACGCGACCGGCACGGTGGTGACGGCACCTGACCGGCCACCGGACAGATGCAGAGTTAGGACAGAGATATCGGCTTCGCAAACGGCTACGATTGGACTCTAGATGGAATGGGCAAGAAAATCACAGCCAGCAGGGAATCTCACGTCTGCCATAAAATCATCAACGAAAAGGTGGACACATTCCGTTCCGATGCTGAGCAAGTAATGTTGCGAGGATCAAACTCAATCTCCATTTTTATCAGCATTGCCTAGGAGACGAATGAATCCTGCAAAATTTCGCCCGCGGATCACACATTCGTTCGCCGGTGAACTGAAAGCCCTCCGTCGCCATGAGGTAGCCTTTTAAGATTCCCGGTCGATGAGTGACTGTTAGTGTTCAGTGTTCACGGGACGATGAGGACGTCACTCATGGCGTGGGGGGGGGGGGATGAGCGGTGACCTCTCGTAGGTGATGAGCGGTGACCTCACCACGCGTGAGTCTGCGCCGGCGGCGGCGGCAGTGTCCGCGCGCCAGAACGGCCGTCACCGCGCCGAGATACGAGACAGTTGTCTGGCGTGAGTGCCGCCTCCGAGTGAATAAACAGGCCGTAAAGCGGCGGCCTGCCGTCAGCGCTCGGCGGCCGGGCCGATCCGTCCGTCCCGCCGCGGCGTCTGCAGGGCGCGGCCGGAGGATGGGGCAGGGGGTGTCAGAAGAGGCGCCGGCTGGCAGCGCTCATGGCAGCCGCGGCCGTCTCACCCCTTCCGCGGCACGTCGGCTGACTCAGCCGTGAAGGACTGTGACTCAGCGAGTCAATACACGGCGCTCACTGGGCCAGACTGCGTCGAGCCACCGCGGAATGTCCTGCCGACAACGATAACGCTGCCATACGAGCGGAAGCAAACAAACCTAATTCCGGTGGCACACTCAACTCTACGCCGATTAAATTCCAGCGCACTCGAGCCGTCGGTGAGTAGCCGTTTGGGAATGTTGAGCTACTAATACACCCCGATCAAACACCGTCCGGAATCAGAGTCTCGCTCGGCCGGCGCCCGGCGACGCCCCGGCAGCAGGCCGGTGACGGGTCGGGTCCGACCTTTACCTGAGCCGGTGGCGGCCACCCGACCCGGCCGAGGTCGCCACCCGAGTCCACAGCAGAGTCCACCCGATCCGACGGAGGTCGTCACACGAGCCGACAGCGCCTCCCCCGCGGCTGAGTCAGCGCCAGAGAGGACACCCTTCCGGCACCGCGCCGCCGGCACACGACACGAGAGCCAGAACGGCTCGGTGACACCGGGCCAGCGTCGAGGGAGGTGGGGTCAGGTGCGACCAATGACCATGTAATGCTTCTGGTTTAGCTGAAAAAGTCAGCACAGACTTTGCTTAAAACAGTCCAATGCCGTTATGCGTTATTATGCACCGACAAAAGGGGACAACAACAGAAAATGTGTCATTAGGTAAAACAAAACAAAAAGACATTTAGAACTGAAACATGGCGTGACTCGGGTAAATTGTGCACTTTATCAAAGTAGACGTGACTCTGCGCTAAAATGGTTTTTCCAAGTCGCGAATCTGTTAGGGAAATAGCTACTTAGATTTCGAGTGCCTTTCAACACGCACAGTGAATGGGTTCGTGACAAGGTCCCTTTGTCAGCTTCGTTCAATTTCATTCATTTCAGATCAGTTTCGTTCATAATATTCTTGTGCAAAACGCCAAGAGAAAGGTGACGATATTACAAAATGTTTGCCGGGCAAAACCAGT